TGTTAAGTGTAGCTGCATCATGGCCATTAGAATAGGTCCAGAGCACTTACCCAGGTGCTTTGAGCGGCTTACCTCACTCAATCCGCACTGCCGTGATGGGGAACAGCACTCAGAGAGGCAGCGTAACTTACCAGTGACCCAGGGATAAAGTGTCCAGGCAAGAGTCAAAAACCACCTTTGCCTGACTCCAGTGCGTCTGCTCCCTCCGTTACAGTTCCCACGCCTCCCCCAGCAAGCCTGGAGCCAGGTAGTGGCCCTCCACTGTGCATGCCCAAAGGAGGCCTAGCACGCTGCTTTGCAATCATGCCCGCCGTAGCCGTGGGGATGGACAGGGTCCAAGAACAATACACCACGCCTTGCTTCTCACAAGCTCTGGCCCTGCAACAGCATGTGTGCCCCCTTGCCTCTGCCAGCAACTACTCCATCATGGCCCACCCCACCCTACTCTCAGAGGCTTCCAAGGGCAGTGCTTAGGGTAGATGATGGGCCTGCCTCTGCCATCATCATCATCTCCCTGAGGCTGGACTGACCGAGACTCCAACCCAGCCCCAGCTCTGCCCAGATGCCAAATCAGACTTTCTAAGATTTCCAGTCCATGGCCAGCCACCCTGTTTTGGTCAGGGAGGACAAGAGCAAAGGGCCACACTGAGTCCAGGGAAGGGGGGAGGCCGGCGCACCCTCACAGAAGGGGGCTGCCCACCAGAGCCACTGGGAGGCCAGGTCAATAAAGGCTGCCTTCCTGTTTCTGTCCTTGACCTTGGCTTTCAAAAGATTTTTAATCAGCTGGCCTTGGTTTCAAATCTCAGCAATACCACTTGTAATCTGTCCCCTTGGGAAATTCACTGAACCTTTCTGACCTCAGTTTCCCGAGTGATGCTGGTTCTTTGGGAAGTGGTTCAGATCCCTACCCCCCAACCCCCAACCTGAGGGCTCCTGCCCTGCTAATGACCTCCAGCCCCATCTTCCTGCCCAGACTGAAGACACAAGACTGGCCAGCTGTGCAGAATTCAGGAAGACCCAGTGTGGAAATCCCCAGGAATCCTACACACCCTCCCAGCCACAGGTGGCCCCCGGGAAGGTGAGGCTACAGGTGAGGGTGGGGAGGGTGCGAGCCGGCTGACACGGAGGCTGGGAGCCCGGGAGCTGGGACTGCGAGCGAGGCCACGTCCCCGGGCGTGCGAGGCGGTGAGTGCTGGTGCCCGCCAGGGGGCGCTCTGCACCAAGTCGGACTCCAGGCGGGCTTCCGCCGGCCAGCCTGCCGCAGCCCCTCCCGGCAGAGGTTAGCCTGGCAGGGCAAGACTTTCTCAGGCGGGGCGGCCGCAGGCTCTTAGCAGGCCAAGGACGGCCATCAGCGCATCGTCCCCAGAGGCACCGAGGAGCCAGGGAGCCTGCATCTGACTGATGATGTTGGGCCTGGGCAGCTTCCTCCTGGTCCTGCCCGCCTCCCCTGCTCACATGGGGGATCGGGGGGGGGGGGGGGGCAGGGCCACGGCCCCGGCCACGGGGTGAGCAGAGGGGGCAGGGAGGCCGAGCGCTCCCTCCAGGCGGTGTCCGAGGAAGGATCCCAGGCAGGCTCTGGGCGGCGGAGACGGCGGTTTCCGGCCCCGGGTCCCAGGTGAGCCGACCCGGCGGGCAGCACCCACGCAGCTTTCCTGGGCGTCCGCCTGCCCGGGCCCGGATGCCCCCCAGGTGGTGGGTGCTCGTTGGCACGGCTCCCGTGCAGGGGCAGCCCGAGGCTGCGGGGGATGAACGAGGGGCCACAGGATGAACACGTGCGGAGCCCAGTGCAGGACGGCGGGACCGTTTGGCGCCCTAGAGGGACGGGGTGGCCGTGAGCCCCGAGCGCCGTGGGTTTGAATGCCCCACCTCCACCACGTTAAACTGGGATGGGGTGACCCACGAGTCCACTGTAGTATTCATTTCTGTGTACTGTCCCGTTAATGTATCTGCTCCACAGCTGGGCCTACTGAGTGCTGGTTGTCATTATTAATGCCTGTGGGTCGGGGGATGCCCGGTGCAGGGCATACTGGCCTGAGTCCAGGACGACCTGGTGCTCCCAGCGCCCTCTCCCACGGTGAGGGTAAGGGGAGGGCCAGGGTGGGTGAGGGTAAGGGGAGGGCCAGGCTGGGTGCTTGGAGAGCAGTTCTCTGTCTCCTCTGCCCCTGAGGTTCCTCCCGCTCTCCCTGCGGCCCACAAGCAAGGCCCACCGCATCTGCCCTTCCACCCCTGTTTTCCCCAAAGCAAAAGCCCATGCTCTAGAGTCTTGTCATCCTCACTGCAGGCTGAGGTCTGCGAAGGCCCCTCCTCTAACCAGAGCCCTGCTGGTACAGTCATTCTCCCCACAGCCCCACACACATGCACTCCCCCCCATGATGTAAATGGGGGCCAGTGAGGGGCAGAGACCTGCCCAGGGCATATGGCACAGCCAGGACAGGGGCCCAGCACACTGGTTCCCAGGGAGGCCTCTTTGCTCTGTGATAGCAGGACTGACATGTGGCCAGGAGGCAGGTAGGGGCTGAGAACAAAAGTAAGAATGATCATGTCCAAGGGGAAGAACTAACATTTTACACACACACACACACACACACACGGGGTCAGTCTCATCTGTCTTATCCTTACAGCAGTCTGCAGTGGGCACTGTATTTGGAGCTGGCTCCCCACATTGGTCACAGGACTCTGGCATCTATTCCAGCATCTACCTCTTTCCTGTACCAGCCTAGTCCACCCAGCTCCTGGGATGATACCAGGCTGGTTTAGCCAATACGTACATGTCATTCCCCAGCCTTCCAGACTGCTTTAAGGATGGATTTGGTTGCCCAATCAAAGCCACAAGACAAGAGGTATTTGGAAAGGTAGGGAAGGGAAGCTTCCCAGCATTTCTGAGAGAAACACCAAAAGATATGTTCTCTTCCTATTAGACATGAAGGAGAAAATATTAGCTCCCGAAGCTTGGCATCCAGCAGTTTTTAATAATTAGGGAACCTTGGTGTGGATGAAACAGACACCCAGGAAGCAAACAGGGGGACTTGAGGGTGGGAGGGAAGCAGACTAGGTTGACATTATCTACTGCTGGATCCAGCCATGCCTGAAGTTCATATTATGAGGCCTTTCCCACTAAAGGAGCCAATAAATCCTCCCTTGTGTTTGAAGCCAATTTTAATTGTCCTTTTTGTTTCCAGCAACTGAAAGTTTCTTACCTGATTATCTTCTTTTGACCAAAGATAAAATCGATACTCAGAAGGTATAAACACCAGGTTGCCAGTTAAAATACAGACTAGTCCATTAAATCTGAATTTCAGACCAACAGTGAGTACCTTTATAGTAGATACTATGTGCCATGCAATATTTGGAACACATTTACACTAAAAACATAAGGGCATTCTGTATTTTTATTTGCTAAATCTGGTAGCCCTATTCCAGTAGCATGTCCAGATTCACACTACTAGAAAAAGGAAAAACCTGGACACAGACCCAGAGTTTTCAATTCTAAAGCCCCTATTATACCAGGTCATAGGAAGGGCTTCTTCCTGTCATTCTTCATTCCCCTCAGCCACCCTCCCAGTCCTATGTGCTTGGAGAATACAAAGAGATGTCACGCTGGGTCCCTAAGGGTCTCCGAGTCTATCCTAGCTCTAGAGTTCTCTGCTGGCCACTCTGCCCCTCTAGCCCCTGCGCTGAGCTGCACGCCGCCCTCTGGTCTGGGGCCCTGCTGCTCTCTCCAAGCAGTGTGGCTTCTTTGGCTGCCTGCTGTCCCAGGTCGCTCCCCCGAGGCTCCACCTGGCAATTCCTCTGTACTGGCCCTGTGCTCCCCTCAGAGAGGCCAGCAGCTGGAACTGTCCACAGAAGGCCAAGGCTGGTGCATGATGATACCGCCCCATGCGGCCTAGGACAGTGCTGTCCAGTCCAGCAGCCCACAGCCCTGCTTCCACCTCGTGTGGCTGTGACAGCCCGAGTCCCTGCTCTTCCGCAGCCTGCAGGGGGGAAGGGATCTGCCCACACCGAGTGCTGGCCATGCTTGTGTTATCTGGGTGCTGGGGATTGGTTCTGTGATCACAAACACGCTACATGGGCGATACTGCAGAGACAGGGGAGCAGAGGAGACGAGAAGGGGGGTAAGAAGAACATTCTGGGGGCTGTCCTCCCAGGGGATGCTCCTGGCCTCTGTAAACTCCATATGTATTTAAATGGGACAGCACCACCCCCTGGGAACTGCCTTTCCCTGAAATTGCCAGGACCACGACGTCAGGGGCGCCTGGGTGGCTCAGGTCATGATCCCAGGGTCCTGGGATCGAGCCCCGTATCTGGTTCCCTGCTTGGCGGGGAGCCTGCTTCTCCCTCTCCCTCTCCCCCACTTGTGTTCCCTCTCTCGCTGTGTGTCTCTGTCAAATAAATAAATAAGATTAAAAAAAAAAAAAGACCACGATGTCAATGACATGGATGGCTGCCTAAACATCACTTGGCAGTTTCCCAATCGGGATTTTCTTTCCGATTTCCCACATGTGGAAATGATGCAGGGATGGCGCTGAATTTTCCAGCAGTACCAGGCTGAGGGTCTGCTGCTGGCTGCTGTGGGGGCTACATCTCTCCATGCAGGCGTGGGGACCATGTCCTCGGTCTCCCCACTAGCAGGACTGGGGCCCACACCAGCTGGGAGTCACAGACAGCATCTCAGCAGTCTCTGTGTGCTTGCAGGTCATTGTCTGTAGCCACTTTCTAGACTGTGTGGGAAACACAGCTCCTTCTGAATCCAGGTCAGCTGATGGACAGGACCAAGCAGAGCATCTGACGTGTGAAGGGCTTTGCTATTTTGCAGCCTTCCTCGTCTTGTTGATGCCCTGCTCGCCCGGAGGGGCAGTTGTCATTATTGTTCCCATTTAACAGATGAGGAACTGATACCCAGCGGTCCCGTGACTTGCCCAAGGCCATTCCAAGATCCCTGGGCCCACTTGTATTTAAGAGACTAATTCCTCACAGCAAGGCTTCTTGTTCGAAATCCAAGAAAACACCAGATAAAGGGCATTCTAAATATATTTCTTTTCTATAGATGCTGATCTCCTGTTACTGGAAAACAGGAATTAGCTTGTCTGCTTGAGGATGTGGTTGGTTCTTTATAAAAAGGATACACAAGAAATTTGCACATAGTCTGCCAGCTTCATTATGCTGCCGACAGCTTCCAGCAAAAGAAGAACATTTGCAGCCAGATATTTCGGTAAGAATTTTATTTTATGCTATCTGGACTATGATTACCTTTGCTCTTGGCTTCTGGCTTGAGAGATGGGGTCACTTGAGGCTGAGAGATGGGGTCACTCGAGGAGCTGTCTTGGTCCTGTGGGCTGGAAGCATTAAGGGGCATCATCTGTGGTCAAGGCCTGGGCACTGGCTGATGGTGCCCACAGACCTCACCCCTGAACTTGGGAGCTGTTCTGTGTCTGCCTGAAACACAGAGCCTTCAACATGACCATGATCGTTGGAGGGATTTGAGTCCAGTGACTCAGGGCTCTGATGACATTCAGAGTCTGGAAGGACCACCATGCCCAGAGACTGTGGGGACAAGACAGGTCCTTCACGGGGAAGAAGGAACATCCTAGAGCCGCCCTGTATCCTGCTTGGAAGCAATCCAGCCAGGCAGTTGGTTCAGTAGCCCCCAGTAAAGTGCCAGGAGGTAACCGAGGCACAGTGAGACACCCCTCAGGGTGGGTCACGTGCAGGTGCTCTGTGGGTGGTCGTGCAGCTGCTTTTGGGAGGGAGCACACAGATGCTGGCTGGGTGGTTCATGTTCTTTGGACCTGGACACTTTCCGAGGATGATTGAAATCCCAGATACCAGAGGAAGAAACGCAGACAGTGGTCTTCAACCTAGCTCTACGTTAGAATCATGAAGGAGCTTTTAAAAAATCCCCAGATATTTTTAAATACTGGGAGATTGGTCTGGAGTGGGTTCTAGACATCAGCATATTTTTCGGTTCCCAGGTGAACCTCATGTGCCGGCAGGGCCCGGAACCACCCGACTGAGGCTGGGGAGGCTTCAGACGGCACACAGCGGCCCGTGCTGGGGTCTGAGTGGTTGTGTGTAGGGATGAGGAGTCAAGCTCTGTGTTCACAAAGCCAGGTCGCCGGGATCTGACACTGGGCTGGACACGTGCTACGGGACACTGCTCATAATATGTCATCTCCTGGATTTCCCTTTCTACAGTAGGGATGGGGAGCAGCTGGAATTAGCCTTTAATTCTGTTTACTTCCAATGCATTAGGGGTCTGTAAAAGCTCCAGATATTTTCCCCTCAGTTGGGTTTACAGTATCATCTGATTTGAAAGGAAAAGTCACTTGCTTTTGTGGAAGCTTCTGGCCACCAGATTTTCACAGTAAACAGACACCCACCCACCCCCACCCCCACCCCTGCCTGGCTTCAGAGTACCGATGCTAATTCTTTAAGGAAAAGACAAATGAGGTATTGCACGAGATACTTGAATTTAAAGAAGTTGGTTGAATTAAATTTTTAAGGGCAGTGAAATTCACATAACCCAATTAACCATTTTAAAGCGAGCCATTAATTCAGCGGTGATTCGTACATTCATGATGTTGTTCAACCACCACCTCTCTCTAGTCCCAAAGCATGTTCACCATCCTGAAAGAAAACCCCATACCCACTGAGCAGTGTCTCCCCATCTCCCCCAGCCCTGGCACCGACCAATCTGCTTTCTGTCTCTAGGACATACCTACTCTGGATATTTCATATAAATGCAACCACACAGCATGTGTCCTTTTATGTCTGGCATCTTTGGCTTAGAGTGACGTGTTAGAGATTGATCACATGGTAGCGTGCATCGGTACTTTTCTTTCCTTTAGACTTAATTAATTTTAAAATCATTATCTGACCACAAACAACTTGGCAGCTTTATAAAAAAGGATCAGCCATGCTGTTCTGTAGAAGGCTTCTGAAAATAGGAAAGTTGGCTAGCAGAGGGGAAACAGTTTCTCCTCCTCATCCTTGGTCTCTCTGGGTCGGCCATTCTGTCTCTCTTCCTCTCTCGATTTCTCTCTTTCTCTCTGTCGGTCTGTCTGTCTCTCTCTCTCTGACTTTCCCTCTTCTCTCGACTCTCTCACCATAGATTCCGGAGGAGGTCATTTGGGAACTTGAGCTTGCTTTTAATGGCTATTTCCAGGGAATTAGGGCAAATGGGAGATTCTTTGGGGTTAAACTGTGGTGCTGTGCTTCATTTCTTCACTCTGCCCAGAGTTTTGTTGAGTCAAGGACCTGCCATGTAGCAGGAAGCCAGAAGCCAGCCAGCACTTTGGTCTCTCATTTGGGGAGACCTGGCTAAAACTCTCACCCAGCCATGGGCACCGCCACTTGTAAGCTTTTCCTGTGGCACGATCCTGCCCGTTTGGACCAGCTGCAGCCTCTTTGCTCACCAGCTTCCCATGCTGCCCCCCACTGGCCTGCCCGGTTCTCTCCCAAGGACTTGTGGCTTCTCCCAATTAGCTGATACTCCTGGGTACTTCCCACCATGAGTAGCCAGTGCAAGTCTGAATCATGTTGGGCAGGAAGATGGTAACCTCTGCCCATACTGGGCCAAAGAGTCCAGAAGGAAGGCGAAAGCAGCTCTGAGTCCAGTCATCCCTTGAGGACCCCAGCTCCTTGGCCCACAAGCTAGCCTTCAAGACCAAGGCCAGGGGGCTGCTTGGACTGGGCATCCTCCATCACACCCCACCCCGGTGCCCTCCTACTCTGGCTTTGCTCACTTGGTCTTTCTCTGGAACATCTCTTCTCCCCTCCCTGCTGTGGATGGCAGGGACATGAGGAAAACGCAGGGACCCAGGTGGGGAGGAGAGAGCGTGGGAGAATAGGAGACTCAGAGACAGGGGAACTGAAATCATAGGAAAGGAAGTAGTAGGTGGTACAGGAGAGGTAGGTTGATGCCATGTTAAGAAACTTGGACTCTTTTTCATGGGCACTAGGGAGCTATTGAAAGTTGTAAGTGTAGGACTGATTGGATCAGATTTATAGGACACCTGAAACTTACAATATTATATGTCAACTACACTTCCAATTTAAAAAGAAAGAAAAATAGATCAGATCTGTGGTTACTGGAAGTGGGGCAGGGGGAGAGGGAATTGGAGGAAAGTGGTCAAAGTGTACAAATGTCCCGTTATAAACAAGTCCCGTAGAGGAGTAGAGTGTATAACACAGTGACTGTATTAACACTGCTGTATGATATATTTAGAAGTTAAGAGAGGAGATCCTAGGAGTTATCATCACAAGGGAAAATGCATTTTTTTTCTTTTTCTCTTTTTTTTGTACCTACATGAGATGGTAACTAAATTGATTGTGGTCATCATTTCACGATAGATGTAAATCAAATTATATGCTGTATTCCTTAAACTTACAGAGTGCTGGATGTCAATTATATCCTACTAAAGCTGGGGGGGGGGAGAATTATTTATAGGAAGAATGATGTGGCCGAAGTATGTGAAGTCAGCTCTCACCTAGATGCTTATAAAGACCTCCTTACTGGTCTTCCTGATGCTACCTCTGGCCCCTCCATCTCCTCCCAATATTGCAGCTGGAACAAGGCTTTTAAAGCCTAAACCTGATGAGAAGTGGCACTCGCTCAGCACATCCCAGTGGATTCCCATGTCTGTCCTCCAGCTGACTCACCATTACCTGTCACATCATCTCCTGTTTCCCCCGCTTGCTGAGCACCAGCAACATGGCTTCCTTGCTCTTCCTCAGATGCCCCAGGTCTTCGCATGTGCTCTGCCCTCTCTCTGGAGTACCCTTCCCCCCAGACATCCACACGGCTCACAACTGACCTCCCTTAGACCTTTACCATCTTCTTTTAAGGCTTTCCCTGACCACCTGTCTGTGTCCCAGTAGGATAGGTCATGCAGTAACTGAGTCATGGGTCACCTGTCCATCATAGTGACTCAAACACCCAGGCTGATGAAATAATCACATCCCATGGTACTGGCGGCCAGGCCACGGGGTCAAGAGAGAGACTGAGCTCTAGGAAGGTCTCAGGTGAGCAATGCAGTCCTCAGTCTGGAAGTCCCACAGGTCACACTCATTGCCAGCTCATTGTCCAACTACCCATAAGGAGTCCAGGAAGTGTCATCCTACCATGTGCCTAGAAGGGAGGGATTGGAAGTATTTGGCAAATGCCATGAATGACTGGACTATTTGCAACCCACTCTGACATTCCTACCCTTCTTCCCTGCCTTATTTTTCTTCACATCATTTATTATTATCTCATATGTGTATGTATGAATTTATTTATTTTTTAAAGATTTATTTATTTATTTTAGAGAGAGAGAAAGAGAATGAGCACAGGGGGAGGGGCAGAGGGAGAGGGAGAGAAAAACTTAAGCAGACTCACTGAGTGGAAAGCCTGACCTCAGGCTCATTCTCATGACCCCGAGATCACGACCTGAGCCGAAACCAAGAGATGGACGCTTAACCAACTGTGCCACCCAGGAGCCCCTCATATGTGTATGTATTTACTTTACACACTTAAAGTGTAAAATTCACCCATTCTAAGTGTACAATTCACCCATTCTAAGAGTACAATTCACCCATTTTAGTATATTTGTAGAATTGTACAACCATCACCATAATCCAATTTTAAGACATTTCTATCACCCAAAAAAGTTCCCTGGTGCACATTTGCAATTAATCCCTACTCCCACTCCAGCCCAAGGAAACCATTGATCTGCATTTTGTCTTTATAAATTTGCCTTTTCTAGACATTTTATGGAAATGGAATCATATATTATGTAGTCTTTTGCATCAGGATTCCTTCACTTAACATAGTTTTTGAGGTCCATTCATGGTCTTGTATATATCAGTGGTTTGTTCCTTTTTAGCTGAATCATACTTCAATTGTACAGATGTACATTTTGTTTACCCACTCACTAGTTGGTTTATTGTTTTACGGCTTAGCATATGACCTATCCTGAAGAAAGTTCCATAGGTACATGAAAATAATGTGTATTCTGTACCCATTATAAGGAGTGTCCTATACATAGCAATTAGGTCAGATTGGTTGATCCTGTTGCTCGGACCTTCTATGTCATTGCTCATGCTCTGTCTAATTGTTCTAGCAATTATTGAGACGGATATGAAATCTCCAACTCTTATTATTCAGTTGTCTGCTATCCATTTTTGCCTCATGTATTTTGAGGCTCTCTCGCATGTGTGTATATTTGTAAT